TAAACAAACAACTTGCGTTTATTATTCTTTTTCTCATTGATGTATAAGTTTAGTATCTAAGTAACTCCTAGAACTATGTGGAAGACATAAGAAGGAAGCAGAACAATTTCAACTTATGTTCTATAAATTTATTTCTATAATATATATTTAAAACTATAAATGTGGAAAAAAAATTTATCAGACAAAATAAACATTTTTATTTATTATATTTATAAATTATTTTTTTTTCATTTTAGATAATTTTTAAATATTACATAAATAATATCTGTAGCCCGATAGTATCATATAAGATTAATACTCAAATTAAAAAGTAGGTACAAACACTGAATGGGATAAAGTTCAATCTTATTTCTAAATTGTCATAATTACTATAAATATCAATAAGATTTATCCAATCTATAAATAACAATTCTAATTGTATTTAATTGCTTTCATTAATAATCAACAAATTTTGCTTGATGAATCTATCATTTTCATCGACAAAGATACGTGTTCAATAAAACTTTTCAATTTTTCATGTATCTGGTGAAGAGATTTTAAATTATTGGATTCAATTCATAATATTACCTGTGGGACAAATTAGTTAGTGCATACAAGCTTTGGACTTTTAGTCAAACTTATAATTGGGTAAAATAGTATTTTATGGGAGTTATTTTATTAGGGTACAAATCTCATTCCTCCCAATTTAATTGTGATAAGAATTCTAATAGCATTTAATTACTTTTTTTAATAGTTTTAATGTTAGATTAATATTACAAAATTTGAATTATTTAATATTTTAAATATATTAATATTTGTATATAAATATAATTAAGAAAATAAATATTTATATGGAACACAGTTAACAATAAATACTAGTGTATTTAAAGTTTTCAACAATATTGTTCATTTGGGTGAGATACTGCAACTATATTAACTTATCACGTTATCCAAAAAAATATTATTTAAAATAAAAGCACTGAGATAAGGTATGAATCATGCATTAATAATTGAATTAAATATTTTATATATAAATATTTGAATTTAAGATTTTAAGTTAAATCATGGAACGAAGAATTGAAATGATTATCTCTAATTCAAAATTTTTATATGTAGAAAAATAATATTAAAATTAAAAGTAATACTTTTTTAAAAAACAAATAACATAAATTAATGGACGAAAAGATAACTCTAAATTGAAATTCTACACTAATTAATGCTTAATTAAGGGAAGAAGCTGCTTGTTTACCACGTTGGAAATTAGAGGTGAGATTGTGGAAGGGACAGACGGACAGCCGCAGTCAATAAAACGAAGTTGTAAAAGAGACTTTGACTCCATCTCCATGCCTGTAGGACAAGTTCTAAAGCCTTAAAACCAGAGGCTTTGGTAACTAAGGGCGCCCACAGAGACGGCCCTTCGGCCTCTGCCCTTTGGCCTTTTGTCCATCAAATACCACTGTACGGATTCCACAAAACCGGGAATTGACCAAAACAAGAACCGCGTTTCGTTTTTGCTTTTGTTTTTACATGGGTCACACGCGCTGTTTCTCGTCCCGTTCCGTTAGATCAGTGTTTTTGGGTTTTAATTTTATTGTGTAAATATAAGATATTAATAATAATTTAAGTATATACGAAATTAATTAATCAGGTGAAGAGCTTAACTACTAATATAGACGTGTTTAATATACGCGTGACATGGCAATACATGAATAACATATTTATTAAATTGTATAAATTTTATATGATATAATACGATTGATACGATTAAAATTTATATAATTTATGACGTAAAATATTTTAATTCTTTAAATTTTATAAATAATTTTACATGAGCTTATTAGTATTTAAAATGGATAATTCGTTTCGAAAGAATATCTTTCGCTAAACATATAAGTGTTATCGTTAAATTTTATTAATTTGATAATATGATTACTTTTCATAAATTTTGAAAATTATCACTATATGCAATATAATTTTTATCATTTTTACAATTTCTTTCCCTCTCTGTCCAAGCATTCTCTCTCCTTCTCTCATTAAATTTTCGACCCAAGCATTCTCTCTCCTTCTCTCATTAAATTTTCTCCATTAAACACAAAGGTGAATGCCAATGACAAAGGCAAACAGCA